GAGTCTAGGCCATGTGCATATATTTGTTGTAGGGCAAATCTGAAAAGAAGGAAGACCAAACAGCTAGCAAGGTACTCTTCAGCATCAGACATTATGGGTAGTGATAATCGGGTTTTCAGTAAGCTTTCCGCGAGTCTTCTGTGACATATGCATCTACTCTATTTAAAGTCCTATTTGCAAGTATATTGTCCAAGCGGATATAAATTAATATTTAAAAAGTACCTTTTGAGTTTCAGTTGCCAGTTGCTGAAGGGAAGGTGATGCTGTGGCCTGCAGGGATCCAGGGGCTCTGACGGGGCTGTGCAGGCTGACATAAGCTACTGCCCTGCTCTGAAGAACCACTGCATTCTCCTGTACAGACACACAAAACAGCCATCTGCTGCCAGCTGATGATATGTCAGAGCATTGAGTGATATTTTGGCATAAAAGCCTGAGTCACCCCCAATGAGACACTACAATTTTGTGAAATGAGCATTGTGAATAATACGAATCATTATTGTCTTTCTCATACTCAAAAACTATCATTTTATTGTGACATTATTATGGGCTTCTTAAGATTAATGATGACGTTTGCATTGTACTGATTAGAATAAACTCCTGCGCCGAACAGAATGATTTCATTAACACTCCAAAATCATCCATCTGTCTGACTGAATCTTCATGGCTTGGTGATCATGTTAGCAAACTTTTGTACGGCTGCACAAAGGCTAATCTGTACTATTTTTGTTTTTCCTCCTTCGCTTTAGTTGTCAAACTGAGGAAGACAAAAAGGCAGGTGCTTTTGACCTACTACTAAACCCAACTTTGGGGTTGATACTCTACATTGCATTGCCAGAGATTTCCATAAATATTAATATGATGTATCAGACAAACTCAAGCATAACTTTTAAATCTACATCTAAAAAAATGCAGCTTATATATGTAAATTGTAGGCTATAATGTGACCCAGATGCCACAAAAGGGTCATAAAGGGCACATGCTCATTTGTCTTGTTCCTACGTGATTTACTGAGGTAATATGATAACAGGCTGATTTCCATGTTGAACATTTTTTCACACATTATAATTACAGGGGCAGATTACTGATTAAGAAATACTTATTTTACATGGTTCAAAATGCTTTTACTGTATTTCATGATTTGTAAACTAATATAAACATTTTGACATTAGCATCACGCAACCAGCTCCATATGTAAGGCTTTTCTGAGGGCGTAAACTTGCTCAGAAGCTCACCTGGTACAGCATTGCACTTGTGATAGGGAGTGGTCGGGTCACGTCTAGTGAAACAGGAGTCACAATAATAGAGCTCAAAGACTTGTATAAGCATGCTAAAGTGGCTGAAATGTGTTTTTATCTCATGCTTGCTTCTGTTAACACTATTGGTTAGGATTAGTGTAGGCGGTACATTATTTTTAAACGTGATAAAGTATTAACCTTTTAGCGCCACTCACCAGCCATTTCATTTCCTAACAGTGATACCAACAACAACCAACATAATAAAACATTGAAAGAATCATGTTTATCTGTTTCGGGATTAAACTGACTGTGCTTTTAATGTCACTCATTGGACATTTCACTTCAAAATTTTTGCAAAACGTACAAGCAACGTAATATCAATAGGCAGAAATGTAACAACAGGCACATTTTTCCAATGAGTCTGGACTGGAATAGTCAAATATTACCTTCCCCCACTCAAAGGAGCCGATGTTGCCCAGTGAGGTTCCCCCCCAGGAGCAGAAGACGATGGTGCGGTCGGGCTGCCAGCCCGCACGGGTTTGAGCCGTCATAGAGGCGATGATCTGAGTCATGACCGCAGAGCCGTTCCCCCAGTCTGCCAACGCACCCTCGTACCAGCTGCCATGACGACTGCCAACCAGTACATATCGATCTACAAGGGGAAACAAAGTGGGAACACTTATACACAAAACAAGACTCAAACACTCATGCACCAACAAACATGTTCACGCAGGCGGAGGGTCAATCAACTGCAGGGTAAAGCTACCATATGAAAACTAGGAGGATCCTTTTTAAATACACATTTTAAATAGATTTTCTGCCATCTGGAACCTTATATTACATATAAAATAAATTAAATGCGCAGATCAATTTCAACGGAAACTTGCTAATTGGTTAACTGTAAACTTTACCACACTGTAAAAATAATGTAGTAATCTGCAGTTAAATTGCTATTTCTACCTAATCCAACCCTTAAATAGACTCTATGCAAAATCACTTCTGCGTTTTGCCTCAGCCAGCTCAGTTACATCCGGTGCAGTGCTGGAAGACATTTTTGCTATTGGAGTTAACTGTGGAGACATCGCATGAGAAGTTGATATTTTACACTCACTTTTTAAAAGTGCTTCCCTGGATAACTGTGAATGCATTGTGAGGCAGTCAGCTGTCACTCCTAACAGCAAGAAGGAGAAGTTTCGAGTTACATTGACACTTTGAGGGTGAGTATTCTCACAGTAAGTCCCAGTTTCTTACAGTTCATACGTGTCTTTTCATTATTTGTTTTGATATATCCAGATAACCTGTTTACTTATATTGTATTCATTTTGACTGATGTGCTTGTTTATGCAACGTATAGGATTTTTGGACTATGAATATTAATTTCTAAATTTCCAAACAGAATCAGGTGACAATGAGAGATAAGCGTGAGGGAGTTGTGTTACAGGCCAGTGAGGAAGGCAATATATTAGCTTAAGTCTGAATTAAATGCTTGTTTTATACAGCCGTTTTTGAGGTTTCTGTACAAAGTCAGGCATAGTGAAACTAATTCGTAAAAAGGTTCATAGAGCTTAACATTTTAAATTTGGGTATAATACTCCATACAGCATATGGGTTTGTAAATATAATATTTAAATATTAAGCAATATTTAATATTTAACAAATTTCTATTTAAATCTATACTTCAATATTTAACAAATATTTAAATAGAATATTGATACATGACTTTTGTTATAGTTTAATCATCTTCACAGACTGTCAAATAAACAACATTTAATTTTTTGTAACATAATTTATATATATAAACAAAAAAAACTTACTGTATGAGATCAGGCCTAGGCATAACAAATGGACTATCCCACTACCAGTGTCAACAATTAACTTTATTTTAATGTTATCTCAATTAACAGTGTTTGCCTGAAATTGAGAGCATTATGAGCAATTTTTTTCTAACCATACAAAAACATGGCATTACATACATTTAGGTAAAATAATTCAAACATACTAAGGAAGATGGATATAATGTAAAATAGGTCAGACTACAGAGATTAAAAATGAGGGAATTTACTTTAATATACATTTTTGTTTTTATTTCAGGAGAGGCTGAGCTGTATTAGGGTTTGTCGACACTACATCCCCTTTGGTCACCACAATCAGGATGTTCAGTGAGGATTCATTGGTGGATTATGCCTTTGGAAAAGTTTAGGCTGGGAGTGTGTTTTCATACCTAAAACCTGCAACATTACTCATCATCAAGATGCCCCATCGGCGCCACATCTGCCACTTGTTGGTTACAGCCTTGGCCCATCTGTCTGCTTGTTTGTCCATAGCGAACAGAGTTTTTTTTGTATATACACAACTGTGTTGTTGTACACGAAATGTTAAACACTTTATCAAAGTTACTTATATATACATGTTATATTTATATGTTTGCATTACCATAGTGCAGGTAACAAATGAATTTATATTTACATATTTACATTACTGCAGTGCAGGTATCAGTCATTTTGTCAGGGATTCATCACAGTCACTTCAGTCACCATCCAGGATCACGAGTGGAAGACGGCATTCATTACACCATCTGGCCACTATTAGTACCTTGTCATGCCGTATGGGCTAGCCAACGCCCCGTCAGTCTTCCAGGGATTCATGAACGAGGTGTTCCGGGAGTTCCTCCACCGCTATAATGTGAGTGTTTCAGCATTTGCCACACGAAACACAATGTCAGGGATTCATCACAGTCACTTCAGTCACCATCCAGGATAATTACCCGATCACAGTCACCTGAGTTCTGATCACCCGCACCTGCTGTCACCAATCAAGCCACACTACAAATACACACACAGCACAGTCACTCACTGTCCGGTCTACCGTTCACTCCTACGAACTTCTCTTGACTCTCTCTGCCAAATTCTCCTAGAACGAATTACCTGCTGTTCCTCCCGCGATCCTCCAACGACTCCTTGGAAACTGTTCCACGATCTCCAACGTAACCGGCATCCGATCCTCACCATCAGAACTCAGATAAGCACCCTGGAACCATTCACTGTGTTGACACTCACCTGCCTTTAACACACCTATTCCAGTCATCCCCTTACCCAGTCAATAAACCATCCTGATTTGCACTTAGCTGTTGTGTCTGGCCTTGCTTTGTGACACATTTATGTTTGTCATTTATATTTGCATGTTTGCATTATTGCAGTTCAGGTACAAATCAAAGGTATCAAAGTTGTTTATATTTATTTTCACATTATGACATTGCAGATAACACCAAAGTTATTTATATTTACATTATCGACATTTGTGCAAATAAATGCAAATGTATACATCCACAATTTCTATATTAAATATTATTTTAATTAATATTGTGCTCAGTTTACAGTAAAAAAAAGTTATATTTTACAAGACAACAAGGAATTTTGCTAAAATATTTGGGGAAAATGTAGTGAAACGTTTGAATTACGAAAATATATGTATAAAATGTATATTATTAACAAAGTAATATTTAGAATTGTATGGTTAAAAAAAAAATCACAAAAACAAATTTAAAGAAAAAAAGTATGAATTACATTATAATTTACATTTACATTTAGACATTTAGCAGATGCTTTTATCGAAAGCGACTTACAAATGAGGACAATGTAATATATAACAATATAACAATTTATACATAAAGGGATAGCTTTCCCAGAAATCCCCACATCAACAATTACAAAAACATAATGTTGTTTGAAACCCTGTAACCCATGTATCATCAGCACTGTATTTCATAGTAAAGATTTGTTGGTAGCACTTTAGTATAGGGACCAGTTCCTACTATTAACTAGTTGCTTATTTACATGCATATTACTAGCATATTGGCTCTTTATTAGTACTTATAAAGCACATAATCTGCGTGATGAATCCTTTACAATACCTAAAGTTAACTACTTTATTAACTATTAATAAAGAGCAAATTAGGAGTTTATTGAGGCAAAAATCAAAGTTAATAGTGAGAAGTGGACCTTAAAATAAAGTGTGACCGATTTATATTTATGTGTATATTTAAAGTATATTAAAACAGAAAACATTTTAAATGGTAAAAATATTTCACAATATTACTGTTTTTCCTGTATTTTTGGATCAAATAAATGCAGCCTTGGCAAGCAGAAGAGACTTGTTTTTAAAAACATAAAATCTGTGTGCACTGTGCACACATATGAGTAATACTTTCTCTAGATTTACACACACTCTGCCTTCACATACACCAAATAGCATACAGACCAAAAAAGAAACAATTTCTCATGTAATTAGCCGTGGGCTATAAACAGCACTGGGCCACCTCTGACTGACAGCTAGTGAGGGTAGAAACAGACTCATTGAGCTGACAAGAGCAAAGAACTAAGGAGTAGATTAACCCACCTGTACTCAAGAGTACTGCTGTGGTCTGAAGGGAAGTTATTAAAATGACACCAAAATGATAAATAAATAAGACAGTCAACTGCCAGATAAATGAAAGGTAAACACATTATAAAAAGACAAAAGTCAAGGAGAAGAACGCCTCTGCATGATTTGTGATACATAATTAGTGACTGGGCGACCAATTATGACAGGAAAAGAGTGCCGTAAATCTGGAAAGTAAATCATGGAGGGCTTAAATGCATAGACAGTGACTTTTACAGTCATGGGGCGGAGGTGAAAGATTAAATGCTTTCATTACATCAGATGTACGATTAAATCATCCTGAAGGTGAAAATAGTAGTCCGTAATTAAAAGCCTATTTTCAGCAGCCAAGTGACCTGCATTTGGTCAGTGGCAGCAGACGTTGTTTTAAGAGATTAGTTTGTCATAGCGCAGGGAGGAAAAAGGGCTGTTTCAACACGTGAACACAGATTGGGCTTTATTCACCCCCAGACTCTTGCTTTTTCAGTGGATGAAGAAGAGAATGATTAGACTGCACTCTTGTTTCGCTTTGCTATCACGAATAGAATAAAGCACTTTGACAAAGCACTGTGTCTTTGTTATGTCAGATCAAAGAGCACAGCGGTTTAGGACCATGCCTGGGACACGCTGGCACGCAGTGATTTGCTATTTAAATGAAATAATCTTGCATTAACTATGACAAAAATCCCTTTGGGTTTGTAAAATGACAATTCGGGTTATGTCTTGGTTTTGTGCTGACCTACCTGGATTGGTCTTGCCTTTGAGATATCCAATAACATTGTGCACCGTCTTGAAGGATGCCTGGTTTTCAATGGTGAGGTTTATGATTTTTCTTGCTGAGGAACAAACAGAAATTCCAAACGAATTAGTCAGGGACATGAGACATTGATAGATCCAGCTATAAGAAAAAGGCAAAGAGATGGAGAGGTTGTGTCAATAAAACACTGTTAATAAATCAATTTTTATTTAATTCTAAAATGAACATAATTAATTGAGGTATTATTTAATATTCAACAGCAGCATCAACAACAACAACAACAACAACAAAATAATAATAATAATAATAATAAGCTACATAAATAAATCAATAAATAATTAAAACATTAATAATAATAATAATAATAATAATATTATTATTGTTGTTGTTGTTGTAACTTCAACTATTCAACTAAATTGTTGACATTCAAATTAATTAATAAATCATTAAAACATTATTATTACTATTATTATTATTATTTAACAAAATTATCAAAATGTCACATATTTTTTAAGAAAACTCCTATTATAGCTTTATTCAACTAAACTGTCAAAATACACACACACACACACACACACACACACAGGTTTGTTTTTGTGAAAAGTGGGGACATCCCATAGGCGTAATGGTTTTTATACTGTAAAGACCGTATATTCTATTGCCTACACCAACCCTACCCCTAAACCTACCCCTTCCAGGAAACTTTGTGCTATTTCAGATTTTCAGTACACTCCATTCTGTGTGATTTATAAGCGTTTTGAAAAGTGGGGACATGGGCTAATGTCCTGAAAAGTCACCTTCTCCTTGTAATACCTATGTCATACCTTTGTCATTATACAAATTTATGTCCTCATTTGTCACAAAAACGCGCACACACACATATATACATATATACTGTGTGTGTGTGTGTGTATATATATGAGACATATGTTTGTATTTTTTCATGATTTTCAATTTGGTATATACAATAATAACTACAACAGAAAATGCTTCCATTTATTTCCCCTAATAATATATTGGATGATGCATAATTATCCAGTACATGCTCATTTAACAAAAAATAAATAAATAAAAACATTGTTCCTGAGGTGGAAAGTCCATTTTTCCATCTAATGGCATCTCCTTTAATTTTTTGAAAACTAAACCATTTAGACACACATAAGGCTAGGTGTTTCCCTTATAGTACAGTATATTGATGTGATCACTGATTACATTGCCCTGAAGAAGCTTTCTATTGACTGTGTGCATTGAGAAAATCCTCTTTTCATTTGGAACATCACTTGCAAGTTTTTGGCACATCCTCCATTATCAAATCCCCTCCCATTATATGTACAGGACCTATAAAACAGAGAGCAGATAGCCTTTGCTTTCACCATCCGGTTGCGTGTTCCAGAGAAAGTGTACACCATCAGAGCAGCTTAAAAAGATGCCGACACTGTTCGGCTCACACTCTTACCAATTACACATAAAGGCTCAATGTGATGGAGTGAATATCAATGAGGCTGATATGCCAGCAGATAAAAAGAAGAAACACCTGGCCCTGGAACACATCCCGAGCCACTCTATCTCCCGCTCTTACAGTGACATCGCTGAGCCAACATGGAGATGTGAAAATCCCGCAGTGGACGAGCTTGAATTGAGATGGAATTGAAAATTCCTTTTCAAGAAAGCTTTGGGATCGCAGGCAGATGTGCCCTCTTTGGGGTGCGATGTACAGAGTATGAGTTTTTTATTAGTTCCTGGAGATGTGAATATCAGGAAATAAAGATAAAGGTTTGGTACCTCAGACGTACAAAGGCGTAAACTCCGCTGATGTGTACAGCTGTGTTTTTTTACTCTTTGAGTGTAATCAAATTCACTCTAAAAATTCAGTGGGCTTCACACAGCCTCCCAAACCCCATTTATCACCCCTGACAACAGCACAAATGACTTTGGGTAAAGAGCAGAAGATGTATATGCAGTTGTAAGGGAGTGTTTAAAAGTGCTGGCGTGCACACGGGTCGTGGTGTGAAAGATTTGTCCATTAATCATCAATAGGTATGAGAGGTTAACGGCTACTGAGAGAGGTGAGCGCCTCTACGTGAGCAAAGTGAAAAAGTGATCTTGTAGGAAAAGAATGAGGAAGTCGACAGCTGCAGTGGCTCATGTTTTATAAATTACTCTGAATAAGATGTTCTTTAGAAGTATATTCTGTATAAATAACAGGAGCACATAAGCGATGAAGAACAGGATCCACTTTATTTAGAAAATATTTCAAATTCGTTAAACCTTTAAAGCAGAAATTTAAGAATATTAAATTAAATGACATATGTGTATACTTTTAATTTAGGCACTGATCAACGTGCATAGTGCACATCTAATATGCTAAATGAAAGATCAAATGTATGACGTGCAAAAACAAATGAGGTTTGTTCTTGTGTTTGAGTTTCTGTTTACCAAATAAATCAGCTTTTCTGTACGCATGCATGCTTATTAATGCTTGTATGTGAATAAAAGCTGTGTTAAATCTGTGTTTCTTATCAATCAAATCAATTGTCTTTCATTTTATAAATCTTCTTTTCAGAAGACTTGAGCGGTTTCTGTAAGAAATATTGATCTATTCATATGGATGACTTTTACAATGCCTTTATATATTTTAAAGCTTGAAAATGATGATTGCATATTTCAATGAACGGACACAAATATGAGAGAATATTAACAAACAAAAATCTTAATTTGTGTTCTGAGCATAAATTAAAGTTTAATGGGTTTGGAAAAACATGAGTTCCAACATCACAGTTATTAATGGCTGATGCTGATAATAATATCTATAACAAGCTTAATGGAAATTAACACTTTTTTTCACAATATTTACTTAGAAATTTACTAGAACATGTTTGAAAGTAGAATATATTCACTGTAAGAAAAAAAATTATAGAAAAATGGAAAAGGTACTGGCACATTTGGCAGTACCATGCAGAATGCATCTGGGAAAATCAATATGGAAAATTCCTATTAACAGTTGTGGGCTATTTTTATAGACTTTTCTCAGTGTACATCATTCAGAGCTGTTCAGAGACTTTCCCCCCCAACTTCAAAAGAATAACTTTTTTTTTTAATTGCAATAATGTAAGTATTTGCTAAAAATATTTATATATAAATAATATTTTTCAATAAATGTTAAGATTAGCAACTGCATCTGGAAATTATACAGCTATAACATAACTCTATAAATTCATAAACGCCTCTTTAACTGGAAAATGATGTCTTGCAATGCAAAACATGATAGGTTTGTAGTTTCTCATCGATGTTAGTCAGCTTCAGCATGGTGACAAAAAGGAAGAATTTGCAACTGTACAGATTGCATCACAGAAAATGAAAGTTTAGCTTAAAAAAATCAATGCATCAATGAACGTAAGATATTTTAGTGGTAACACAGAACTGACGCTTAGGGCAAATATCAAATATGGTAATTGGCCAATCAGACTCAGTTAAAGCCAGTGTAACCGGCCATCTATCACATCCCCAAAATCTAACAAAAGATCTTTTATCAAAAGCAGCAAACAAAAAGTAAATTATTATTATTAAAGTGTTAAATTGTTAAATTGTTTTACCATTATTTCATGCCATATGTCATACCATAACGTCTCAGGTTACGTATGTAACCATAGTTCCTCGAAGGAACGAGACGCTGCGTCGGAAAACGCTTGGGGAACGCCCTTTAGCGTGACCGGCTCTGAACCTCGTGTGTAATCAGACCAATAGATGGGCAAGACATCCCGGGCGGGTGACGTAATGACCAGGAGGCTATAAAAGCACGTGCGGTGAGACCAGCGTCAGCTTCCAGGAATTAAGCAAGCGCTGGCAGAGATGCCGGAAGTATGGCTCTGAGACGCAGCGTCTCGTTCCTTCGAGGAACTATGGAGTAAGATTCACATCAAAAACCGAATTCTGTAATATAAGCGTTGCCACGGCAGCGCGCGAGCCGCTCAGTCACACCAACAACATCAATCTCCTCAGAGAAAGATGGCCGCATCAGCAAGCT